ACCGAGGGACGTTAAATGAAATAAAATGAAGCTTAGCTGGTCATCAGGGAGCCAGATTTAAGGAGGCACCCATGTTTAAAAATATACATCACAGTAGTGTTTGTTGCCACTATGTTAGCACACATGCTTCTTGAATACGTATCACCCTGCCCACCTCGGTTCAGCTCACCTGACCTCACTAAAGTTCAGCTTATCTTCATATCCAAGAGATAAGAAATGCTGATTGCAGCTGCAGTGCTCAAGTTTTGCAGAAAATTCTTCCCAATTAGCATCTTTAGCACACCAGCAAAGGCAGTTTTCATTACCTCCTCCAGTCCACTACCAACTATCAGGACCCTCCCCCTCAAGCACCAACACAGCTCATGAATGAAATGCATTCCTCAAAACTAAAGGATGTATTCTTTGCTAAAGAGTATAGGTAAGCCCACACTGAGAGCCACATGATACGGTTGTAGATCTGCTGTAAATAAAGTTGCTGCTTGGTCAGCTATCTTTGTCAATCTTGTTTCTTGCAATAGCCACTGCTGCTAATGCTTTAAATTGCAAGATTTCATCATAGAAGCAGCAGATACAAGATCATGTAATTGTTTCTTCTGAAGCATAACACCAATTCCAATTTGCAATGGTGTTGGCAATTTCTGACTACATTTGTGATATGCTCATTAATAATTAATGGAAATAATGACTTAAGAAATTGCAATGACGTGGCTGCAAATAAATAACAGAACGGGTGAGGCTCAAACTCATGGCATGGGAATTATTTTTAGGGTTCCCTTATTATGGGTTTGAGCCCCACCCATTCTGTGAACTGATTTTTAAAGGCAATACTGTACTGATTCTAAATTATTAATAACTAAAAGAAACAGGATTGTGCTAAGAATACACCCTTATGGAACACCTGCTTCAACAAAGGCTGGAGAGACGCTGTTAATTATTTAACACTAAAGTGTCGAGATCATAAAAATCTTGAGAGTAAGTGGGAGTTGGCCTCACAGATCAAAAGAATGAACCTGTAGTAAGATGTGATATAGCCCTACCGAATCACAAGTTTTCTCTAAGCTGAAAAAGGCCACCACACAAAAAACTGTGAGATTTTGGATAAAAAAACTATCTTCACTACCATGTATGAATATAGAGTGAAGTATTCAAGGAATTTTCAAGAGAAGAAACTTTCAATTATCAAAACATGTTGGTGGGGACTATTAGATGCATGTGTTTCCTAATACTTAAGCTAGTCCATCCTGTAATATTTCACTGTTAGCCCCCGATTGAAATATATAACACTGTCCAAGAATTTCCAAAATTTTTTTTTTTTTTTTTTTGTGAAATGGTAGAGAATCTTTTTCTGAAGATAATAAAACAAAAAGTACTAAATTTGATGGCAAACTGACAAAATTACGCTTTCACAAATTTTCCTGTGTCAGTGATATTTAGGCATTGGCGATTTTGCCCACTTTGAGTCCTATTTTAGGCCAATTACACTGTTCCATTTGATCAAATTCCTAGCTATTTGGATAGGATGCCTTACATTTTATCAATTGAGCACAAGAAGCCACCCAATCAACTATTTCAACATCCCAATAAAGTGATCAGAAATTGGTAATTTAGCCAATTTCACACAAATTTCAAAACATTCCAATTTTAAAATAGGGTGCAGAATAAACAATGCAGACATTCCTGGCACTAAAATAACATTTCCTATGTTCATTAGTTATGTTCCCAGGCTTTACACATGAATTCCATTTTGATTTTCATTCACACAAAAAAAATAGAAGATTTACTATCATGCAATACTGTAATAATTATATAAATAATATCAGTGCATTCATGAATGCATATTAGGGCCACCAGCTGGACACGCACTGGACGAGTGACAATTTGTTTAGTTTTGAATATTTGTTTACTCTTGAATATTTCCACTACTTTGAGCTCAATTTCAAACTATCTTCAGTCCTGAAACCAATCAAAATCATCCTGTTTCTGTAATATATCTTCCATTCTATCAAATAAGATCAAGAAACTGAGAATATGTATACCTATAAGAACCATACAAAAATACACCACAAAGTCGCTGTGTTAAAGCAAAAATACGGTTGTAGTTTTTTCCTCATGCACTGCGTGCTGCAGGATTTTTTTTATATGGTGCTCACTTAATGCACAGATCCATTCTCTCATATCTAGGCCCAAATTTACTGCTCACAACTTATCTGAGTGAGTTAAGCTCATGGTGTAGTACAACGGTACCAACACTGGCTTCAAAGCCATTATAAAACAGGACCGATAACGAAAGGGTTAAAACAAACATTAGCACCAATAAGCATGACTGGCTGCTCATATGACACATCAGATATGTGCTGTTGCTTGTTTATAATCTAAATAGCAGGCAGAGGTACAATTATAGATACTGGCCACACACAGCATGTTTCAGTCAGATAATCATAGGACAATTTAGTGACCACCAGGGTATGCATGTATTATAATGCTTACCTGTGTTTTGTGGGATAGAGATTCCAGAAACTGAGAAAAAAGAGATGTAACAAATTCATGAATAACTCATCAGTGGAGGTTTCTGTGATAGAGAAGAAATAAGTGGCATAAAAAAGAACAAAGGCTAATTTGCATATTCAAACTGTCACTGAGTGTGGCAATAAAGAAGAATGATGAAGAGGTCACCATCGTAGAGCTTATTTACCACAAAATATATGATAAATACAGTATGTCAACAACCAGCAGAAATTGGGATACATTAATATTGACTCCTGCACTTGCCATGTCTCCCTCACTGCACAGTAAATATCTTGATGCTGAATCATAGAAAGTAGTTCAAGTTTTCAGCAACAGTGTTGCCTTCACCACCTCTTGTAGCTGGTGGTACTGAAATAGATTATTTACTACTAGGTGAACATGGGCAGTGAGAAGACTAACACCCAGGTACCTATTTACTGCTAGGTGAACAGGTACAGTAAGTGTACACACAATTGTCCATACATCTTGAGATAAGATTTTCTTCGGATTTTTAACCCCGGAGGGTTAGCCACCCAGGATAACCCAAGAAAGGCAGTGCGTCATCGAGGGACTGTCAGTCTTATTTCCATCGGGGGTCCTCAATCTTGTCCCCCAGGATGCGACCTACACCAGTCAACTAACATCCAGGTACCTGCCTGCTAGGTGAACAGGACAACAGGTGTAAGGAAACACGTCAAAATGTTTCCACCCGCTGAGAATCGAACCCGGGCCCCTCAGCATGTGAAGTGAGAGCTTTGCCAGCCAGGCCATGGGGCCTGTTGTTGCCACTGCTATTGCTACTCCTGCTGCTGCTTTGATGATGACAGTGGTGCTGCTGCTTTGATGATGGCAGTGCTGCTGCTGCTGTTTTGATGATGGCAGCAGTGCTGCTGCTTTGATGATGGTAGCGGTGCGGCTGCTTTGATGATGGCAGCAGTGCTGCTGCTTTGATGATGGCAGAGGTGCTGCTGTTTTGATGATGGCAGTGGTGCTGCTGTTTTGATGATGGCAGCAGTGTTGCTGTTTTGATGATAGCAGTTGTGCTGCTGTTTTGATGATGGCAGCAGTGCTGCTGCTTTGATGATGGCAGTGCTGCTGCTGTTTTGATGAGGGCAGTGGTGCTGCTGTTTTGATGATGGCAGCAGTGCAGCTTTGATGATAGCAGCAGTGCTGCTGTTTTGATGATGGCAGCAGTGCTGCTGTTTTGATGATGGCAGCAGTGCTGCTGCTTTGTTGATGGCAGCAGTGCTGCTGCTTTGTTGATGGCAGTGGTGCTGCTGTTTTGATGATGGCAGTGGTGCTGCTGCTTTGATGATGACAGCAGTGCTGCTGTTTTGATAATGGCAGTGGTGCTGCTGTTTTGATAATGGCAGCAGGTCTGCTGCTTTGATGATGGCAGAGGTGCTGCTGCTTTGATGATGACAGTAGTGCTGTTGCTTTGATGATGGCAGCGGTGCTACTGTTTTGATGATGGCAGCAAGTCTGCTGCTTTAATGATGGCAGCAGTGCTGCTGTTTTGATGAGGGCAGCGGGGCTGCTGCTTTGATGATGGCAGTGGTGCTGCTGTTTTGATGATGGCAGCAGGGTTGCTGCTTTGACGATGGCAGCGGTGCTGTTGCTTTGATGATGGCAGCGGTGCTACTGTTTTGATGATGGCAGCAAGTCTGCTGCTTTAATGATGGCAGCAGTGCTGCTGTTTTGATGAGGGCAGCGGGGCTGCTGCTTTGATGATGGCAGTGGTGCTGCTGTTTTGATGATGGCAGCAGTGCTGCTGTTGTGATGATGGCAGTGGGGCTGCTGCTTTGACAATGGCAGCAGTGCTGCTGCTTTGATGATGGCAACGGTGATGCTGTTTTGATGATGGCAGTAGGTCTGCTGTTTTGATGATGGCAGCAGTGCTGCTGTTTTGATGATGGCAGTGGTGCTGATGTTGAATAGGTGCTTTTGCTGCTGGCAATGTTACTTCTGGCTGTGATGTTGCTACTAGCAGTGAAGGTGACAGTGGTACATGTTAGTCGATGCATAGTAGCATATTACAATTGTTGGGTGATGGTATAACCACAAAATACTTGGTAAACAATAGTCAGAATGGGATAAGACTAAGGAAACATCTTAGGCCCAACAGGGCGGCAAGCAGCGCTTACGAACCTACCACACGACAAGACTGAGTATTTGATGATCATTATTTTTGTTTCCTGACAGCAAATACAGGGAGCTTTTGATTATTATTATTATAATCAAAAAAGAAGCGCTAAGCCACAAGGACTATACAGAGGGAGCTTTTGAGAGCTCACTAAGTTGAAAATGTACTGTGAAAATGCACTTCTTGTGGGAGAATAGTCTATATACATAACTAAGATTCAAGATTCTCAAAAAAGAAATTAAAAAAAATTGTTGTGTGATACCTATCCTGTATTTTCATAGGAGGGATGGCAAATGGACTACAAACAAGTTAGAATTTTTTACTACAAAGAGAAGCATGCTGAAATATTTACACAAGTTACCCATTTAGGGGCCACAGGCCTATGTTCTCTGGCATCATCATCATGATCAACAAATCCATATCTGTTGAGAATAGATGTTCTTACTTCTTTATCATCAATCTGACTCTTGTTGCCCTTTGCTCCAGGAACAAGCTGAAATAAAATATCACATAATCATCTTAATGCAAGTGAAACATCAGACTGACATAAGAATATTATTACAAGAAAGTTATATTATAAACTAACTGTAAAATACAAAGGTACACAGTACAAAGCATGACTTACAAACTGAAATAAAAATACATTTTAAAAGAACAGGCAGTAGACCAACTGCCAGGTGAGCTACAGTGCTGAAAATAGAGGGTGACAACTGTAAATGGTGTAGTAGGCAAGTCTGGAGTGCCAGGGTTAAATGAAAATGGAAGCCCTTAATTGAGTTGTGTGTAGACAGGGATTTGGAAATAGTTAATCTTTATTTTGAGAAAAAGAGGAAGTATGCAAGATATGATATAGGTTAATGGGCAGACTTAAGGATGTGCAAGCTTTCAGAGAGAGATATGTCAGATCATTATTTAACGGTAGCTATAGTAAGAGTAAAGGGTGGAAGGAGTACAGAGAGACTGGCAGCAGTGAGTAAGAGGGAAGTGAGAGTACAGTGGAACCTCGAGTTTCGGCCATTTTGAGTTTCGGTCACTTTTTTTTCCTAAATTTTGTCTTGAGCTTCGAACAGTACCTTGAGTTTCGGCTGCTGTACCAGACCTGTCCACCTGCCTGCGTGTCAGTCTGGCTTTGTTTCTCCTCAAGTGAACATTACCTCGTGCGTTCATCCAAACATTTCACAATAATCCATTGTTTTTTTGTGCTTGTTGATTGAGTGCGACTGCTACATAATTAACCATGGGCCCAAAAAACTTTGGTAAAGAAAGTGAGAAACACGATAGAACTGAAGAAAGAAATTGTCAAAAAATACGCAAGTGGTATGCACGTGCTTCAGCACATGAAAAGGTGAGGCAGTTGCACGCAGATCTCGTAAAGAAAATGCCTGGAACGAGTGCTGCTGTTAGTGAATTTAAGGCTAGCAGAGGCTGGTTCGACAACTTCAAGAAGCGTAGTGGCATACACTGTGTTGTAAGGCATGGCAAGGCTGCAAGTTCAGACAAATGTACGGCTGAAAAATTCGTGCACGAATTCAAGGACTATGTAGAGGCTGAACGATTCGTCCCCCAACAAGTGTTCCATTGTGACGAAATAGGCCTGTCTTGGAAGAAAATGCCAAAGAGGACCTACATCAAACAGGAGGAAAAGGCACTGCCAGGAGACAAGCCTATGAAGGATAGGCTAATTTTTTTGTTCTGTGCTAATGCTAGTTGTGAGGGAAAAGTTCAATAGATAGGAGTAGCGAGGAAGTATATAGTAACAATAGTTTCATTGCCGGCTACTTGTTAAGGTAGGGTAAGTCAAGCTCCCGCTATTCCCGCCTTTTTTCCCCTCCCCGAAAGTGATAGTTTCATTGCCGGCTACTTGTTGAGGTAGGGTAAGTCAAGCTCCCGCTATTCCCGCCTTTTTTTTCCCCCACCCCGAAAGTGATAGTTTGACTGCCGGCTGCTTGTTAAGGTAGGGTCAGTCTAGCTCCCGCTATCCCTTCCCCTCCTTCTCCCCCCCCCCGAAAGGTGACGTGTGGGGCTCCGGTCCAAACAGTAATCACTAGACTCACAGCTCCCAGCACTACTGTAAGTACATGCCTGCCTTGTATTCTAGTGGATTTATTGGTTGAAAGCTTCACTTTTGACCAATAATAAACTTAGTCCTTTCAGTCTTGCTCTAGGTTGACTGTTGTAATAATCACCACATCTTTTAGGTATTGTACTTATCATGGAGAGTGATTTCTTAAGCAGTGGGTAACCTGTCTATCTTTCCAGCTTGGATGACAGAGAGGGTCACCTGCCAATCAACGAGCAGAACTGATGGAGATGGACTAACGTCCTGAGACTTCCCCTTTTTGGATTTAATTGCCTGTGCACCTGTATGAAATTGCAGGACGTAACCCCTCATCATTGCAGTGGTAAAGAACCTGCTTTCCTGTCATCGGGATATAATACTCACGGCTATACTGTGAAGAACAAACCGGTGGGTTGTAACCAACACCTGCGACCCCCTCCCCTATCATCAGCAACGGCTACAATTTCAACAACACAGTGTCACCAACACCAGACACCCAAGTTTTAAATTAGCGTTGAATTCAGTTATTTATATTTTTCATTTTTCATTTTCTTTAATGTAGGATTAATATTTCATATTTTATATTTTCTATATAATAAAGTGTTTATGTTTGTCTGTTATTATTTCTTTTTCTATTCACTAATTTTCCTGAGGAGGAGCCAGCCTTGGTAATACTGTCTGAAGTTGTTACAGGGCTGAGTAAGCCTTCACACTAGTGGGGATTTCAAAGTGAAGCCTCTACTGGTGTATCACTTTGAAAATCCCAGTGCGTTCAGGAAAAACAATGTCATCAAGAGTAGATTGTGTGTGATGAGGGATAACAATAAGGCATGGGTCACAAGGTAAATTTTCATTGACTGGGTCCATGAAGTGTTTGGCTCGAGTGTGAAAAAATACCTCCAGGAAAATAAATTGCCACTCAAGTGCCTCCTGGTACGGGACAATGCTCCTGCTCATCCTCCAAACTTGGTAGACCAAATGTCTATGGACTTCAGTTTTATAACAGTGAAGTTCTTACCTCCTAACACCACTCCTCTCATCCAGCCAATGGACCAGAAGGTCATTTCAAACTTCAAAAAAACTCTACTCCAAAGCAGTGTTTCAAAGGTGCTCTAAAGTGACCTCGGACACTGAACTGGCCCTAAGAGAGTTTTGGAGGAATCACTTCAATATCTACAACTGCATAAGCCTTATAGGTAAGGCTTTGCAGGGAGTGATTTCCAGGACTTTGAACTCTGCTTGGAGAAAATTGTGGCCAGATTATGTCCAAGAGAAGGACTTTGAAGGGTTTGAGACTGACCCTGTCAACCCTATACCTGTTGTGAAATCTATTGTGTCTTTGGGGATGTCCATGGGGTTGGAGGTGAGTAGCCAGGATGTGGAAGAGTTGGAGGAGGACCACAGGGAAAACCTAACCACTGAAGAGCTGCAAGACCTTCATCTGGAACAGCAACAGATCACAGCTGAGGAACTTGCTTTAGAGGAGGAAGAGGGAGAGAAGTAGATGCCTTCTTCAGTGATTAAGATTTGTGCAATGTGGATTAGGGTGCAAGCTTTTGCTGAGAAATATCACCCTGAGCAAGCTGTTGCAAGCCGTGTCTGCAACATGTTCAGTGACAAAACCATGTTCCATTTCAGACAAATGCTAAAGAGAAGCCAGAAACAGACCTCTCTGGACAGTTTTTTTTTTTTTTGTGCAACAGGGGTCCAGTGACTCTCAAGCTGGTCCTAGTGCCATTAAAAAACAAAGAAGGGAAGTAACCCCAGACAGGGACTAGATACCTGAGGTCCTTATGTAAGGGGATTCCCCTTCCAAACAATAATCAGTCCTCCATCTCTCCTTCCTGTCTTCCATACACCAACAATAGTCTTCAATAAAGGTATGTAAATGTGATTTTAAATGTTTATTTAAATGTTTATTTATCTATTTTATTAGTCATTTAAGTACTGTATGTACAGTAGACCATTATTTAACATGGCAGTTATGCTCCTGAAAACACTGTGTTAGGTAAAACCGTGTTAGATGAACTGAAGAACTTATGGGAAAAATAGGGTTATGTTCCTGAGAGCCCCAAAAAAAACAAAACTTTTTTTAGGCCTCCACATCTTATAAAAATAAAAGTGAATATGTAATTGTAGTTCATTGTTGTGATGTATTATGTTATTTTTACTGCTTAAGACTACAAATGTAACAGAAATAATAGTATTTCTTACCTTAAATTGTGGGTGCTGGTGTTTGTGGATGATTGTGAAGAGAGTGGAGAGTTGTGCTGTGGCCCTACTGGGCTGAGATGGATGGTAGAGGTTCTGGTACTGAAGTTGATGGTTGTACTGGAGTGTCTAACTTTAAGTCATTCAGTCAATCAAGTCATTCAGAAAGTCAGTCAGTGACACAAACTTATGTTTACCTCTTTTTTATGTGTACAAAGTAACACTTCATTATGGCCACAGGATGTCTTGTCTAATATCTTTGTTTCCTTCGTTAATTCTAGGACTTAACCCTTTGACTGTTTCTGTCTTACGAGCCACCGTGTTTGACAAGCTGGTAGGCCCACATGTGAGAGAATGGGTCCGTGTGGTCAGTGTGCACCATATAAAAAAAATCCTGCAGCAGGCAGTGCATAATAATAAAAAAAAAAACTCCGACCATTTTTTTTAATTAAAACCCTTAAACAGTCCTAACATATATATACGTTCACGCAGCACCCCGAATATTTTGAAAAAAAAAAAAAAAAAAAAAAATTCATAGAAAAAAGGGCACATTATTTTAAGTGTTTTAGAATAAAAAAAATTAGGGTCAGTACTTACAGAGATATGAGGCCGAGAAGTTGGCACTGGATGCTCATGTGACGGCAACATGGAGTCCTGCTGCTTGCAGAAGTGTTGCCGATATACCTTTTTTTCTATTTTTCATATTATTTTATATAATTTTTATTTTCTGATAATTACAATTTATAGTAGTTCTTGTCATTTCATAACCAATCTTCGTTCTGACACGAGTATTAGGTACTGAAATTGTACTCAAATTGTCACAACGACATTGACAGGTGGACATTTACACCTGTGTTGGTCATTTACTATTGTCTTGGAATATAAACCAAGTATTTATAGGTCCCAGCAATGTTTTGGATATGTGGAAGTATATAAGGAGGAGGAGGAGGAGGAGGAAGAGGAGGAGGGAGGGATGGAGGGGGAGGGGGGAGGGTGGGGGAGGGAGGGAGGGGGAGAGAGGGAGAGAGAGGAGGGGGAGGAGGAGGAGGAGAAGGAGGGAGGAGGAGGAGGGAGGAGGAGGAGGGGAGAAGGAGGAGGGAGGGAGGAGGAGGAGAGGAGGAAAGGAGGGAGGGAGGAGGAGGAGGAGGAGGAGGAGGGAGGAGGAGGAGGAGGAGGGAGGGTGGAGGAGGAAGAGGGGGGAGGAGGAGAGGGGAGCAGGAGGA